CTGCAAAGACTCAACGTCAGCCAAGGCGAGTGAGAAAAGGAAGGGTGCGCCGCTCTACATTGTGTACAATTGCGCGTGTGAGTTCTGCATTGGCAATACCACAACTATATCAACAACACGCTCGGTGAGGTGAGCATCTACAACATATCATCAATACCAAACCCTCACGCATGAACTACCATGCACCCTAAACCCTAAACCCTAAACCCTATTCCCCTTAAGCCCTAATCCCGGAGCCCTAAACCCTAGCACTTGAATTGAGACTGCTTCGGCACCATGCAGATGGGTTGCTGGCTTCTGCACGAGTCCGGCGGTTACGAAGGCTTGAAGTGCTACCGATCCTTGCAAGCATTCGATGCCGACAAAAGGCCATGAGGGTTGAGGGCCCAAACCCTAAACTCTAAACCGTCCTTGCAAGCATTCGATGCCGACAAAAGGCCATGAGGGTTGAGGGTTTGGGTCTTAAGCCGTCGATGACGAAAAACACCAGAGACTTGTCGGCGTTCTCAAGCATGGCTTTCGGTTTCTGTCGTAATCTATCGAGGGTTTCGGGTTCACTTATGATTCGGGATTTCGGACTCAGTTGGAGTTTGAAACGTCAAGTGCTTCCTTTAGTAGCCATCTGTGGGGTTTATGCAGGGGATCAGCTTGTGTGTGAAAACATTCAGGCCTTTAGGCTTTGGGCTCGGGATGAGGGTTTAGGGTTTAGGGTTTAGGGTTTAGGGTTTAGGGTTATGTTGGGCTTACCTTGACCCCAAGCAGCCTACCTTGTTATTGATGTACATAAGGAAGTTAGGTGTGATAGGCTCCAGGCAGGGCTCGGGTAGACTTCAGGGCTAAAGGTCATGAAGCACGTCAGGGTTTCGGGTTTAGGATTCAGGGTTCAGGGTTTAGGGTTTAGGGTTTAGGGTTTAGGGGGTTTACGGTTTAAGGTGGGCTGAGGAATCATTCACCAAGACTGCCTTTGAACCTTCTTGACCTTGTCGCAGGTTTAGGATGATCGGAGAGCGTGGATGTTAAACGCTCAAACGCTAAACCCAGTCGAAGACGAGAGCCTGACACTCTAGCAGGTGAAGGTAGGTTTGGCTTCAGCAGCTCTGAGGACAGTTTAGGGGATAGGGTTTAGGGATCTGGAGTTTCGGGTCTGCCCAAGCATTCAGGGAATGTAAGTCGTTAGTGCTATTAGTAGCTTGCATTCAGTTTTGAAAGCTTTGTTGTTGGATTTCTCTCGGGTCGGATCGTGGGTTTTCAGTTTAGGGGCTTCCGGGGTTTAGGGCCCAGCTGCCAGTGGCCATGACCGGCACGCCTGCGCTTGTGGTGCGCTGGATCTCTGGTGACGAAGTGCGCATAGAGGAGGTTTTCACTGGGTCGACAAAGCCTTTTTTTTTGTAATGGTCCACATCTTGCTAAAGTGCCATGGATGCCATCACTGTGATGAAGGTACTGGCGGTACTGATGATGACGGTGGTGATGATGACGATGATGATGCTGACGACGATGATGATGATGATGATGATGATGAGACTGATGGTGATGTTGATGACGACGGCAATGGCTTAACACAAATATCTACACACCTATGGTACCATATCCTGTGAACAGGATTCAGGGTTGAGCTTGAACCTGACTTACAAGAACCCAATCTCAGAAATTCCGAACCTACAACAAGCCGTAACCCTATATCCTGCGTATGCCCAAGTCCGAAACCTACATGAACCTTGATCAGTCCTGTTCCTGATCTGCGGCGTGTCTTCGGATGCTCAATCGATCCTGAGCCCTAAACCCTGCCAAAATCCTGGCAAATCCCGAAGGATCCGGGTACCCATTTTATATTCGGCCTTGAGGGTTTCCTATGTGGGTATTTCAGGGCCATTCTAGATACTATATAAACAGAAATACATGTATAATTTTCTTATGTGTAGATAGGCACATGGAGCCTTAGGGAAACTTGTATAAACCCCAGTGAAACAAAACATCAGCTATCTGTCGAAGGAGGAATGGGAAGAATGGTTCCTTGCCGACTTGAAGCAAAGCGTCTCGGCCACCAATCAATGTGAGCATCCCTCCAAACTCCGGTAAGTGTAGTTAAGAGCAGGGTGGTCGTGGACATGGAATCTCAGATTTGGCCAAAACCCTCGAAAAACGATTGGACCCCCCCCCCCCATAAAAAGAATCACAACTTATACTGTCAACAAAGATCATCTGTTGTCACATTTCAGTGCTGCCGCGGCATGTGTATCTAAATTTTCGGTGTGATATGTGGCCAAGCAATCAATACCCTTCGAGAGTGTCCAAGACGCCACATAAGTTGGCCAGCGTGCTCAAAGTTGAGAGTACATACTCATGCTCGTTTGAGTGTATGTATATACTATAGGTACACACACATAAATCATGTGTGTATGTGTTTATTTGCTTACGTGTTCTCTGTGTACCCCCCGCCATGCATGCTTTTCTACCCTATGCTAAGTCGCACACCAATCCGTCGTTTGCATTCCAGGTCTTCAGCCGTCAAAGCCCGGCTCGCAAGTGCAAATTGTCACGGAATCCGGTCGGGAGCTCTTCGACTGGCAACCTCTGAAGGACTTCTATCAGGAGGCCACAACATGATTCGCTTTTTGCTAGTAACTACTGCTGCAATTCCTGGTGCTACTGCTGCTCTTACTGCTAACGCTAGCCGCTAGTATTTCCACTGCTAATGCTACTACTACTACTACTACTACTACCACCACCACCACCACCACCACCACCGCCACTGCTACTACTACTACTACTACTACTACTACTACTACTGCTACTGCTACTGCTACTACTGCTACTACTACTACTACTACTACTACTACTGCTATTACTACTGCTTCTTACTTTTCTTCCATTACCACTGCCACTACCACGACCACCAACTCCACCACCACGACCACGATCATGACCACTACCACTAGCACTACCACCACCGCTACCACGACCACTACGACCACTACAACTAATACTACCACCACTACTCCTACTCCCACTCCGCCTACTCCTACTTGGAACAAGTACTTCTACGACGACCGCGACCGCTACCGCTACCGCCCGCTGCCCGGCCGCGACCCGGGACCACGACTGCGACCGATACTGCTACCGTTACCACTGCTGCTACTACTGCTGCTACCACTGCTCCCGCTACTGCTACCGAGAATGCCACTTCTACCAGTCTACTAGTAGTAGGTTTGCTACTCCTACAACTGGCTGTTACTACGTCCATACATTGTCTACAGAGGGTCAGAGGGTTTGCTTCGGGGGGAAGTACCTTGAAACCGAACATACGCGGACATCGCGTTTCCGTTGAAAGGCGTTCAAGGACAGGAGCGAAGCAATACCAACAGACAGGGCTTCAAACCAAGCTTCAGATGGTGACCCTCCGGTGCAGGAGCCATGATGGTTGAGGAACTAAGGTTTGCGACGAGAACTTGGTTTTTTGGGCTCCCTCTTTGCTCGGGCATACGAGATGGCTATTTACACGCCTTGCAGTCTTGAGCAGGCAGGCTCCGACGTGGTGTTGATGGCCATAGTGCGCGACGAAGAGACGGCCCAGTGGATCAGCAAGGCAACTCTCAAACATGTTCTGGCCTTCGTGCTGGTATAGGTGACCTTGTTGCAGCTGCTGGTGCTGCTGGTGCTGGTGCCGTTTGTATCGCTGTCGCTGCTACTTCTGCTGCTGGTGGTGGTTGCGGTGGCGGCGTGGTGCTGGTGCTGGTCCTGTTGCTGCTGTTGCTGCTGTTGCGCTGTGTGGCTGTGGTGCTGTGTTGTTGTGAAGCTGTTGCTGCTGCTGTTGCTGCTGCTAAGATTAGACTCATGAGTTTGGGCCTTGACGGTGTCGCTGAGGTTGCTCATCGCGATCATCATCATCGTGATAGTAATGATGACGATGGCGGTAAAGATGATGATGTTACGATGTCGATGATGTTGTCACGGCGCGTATCAGTCGTCTCTTCAGCTGTGGGGCTTAAGGCCATCCAAGCCCTAATCCCTAAACCCTCAACTGTTGAAATTTACTGATTTCGGCTCATTGTTCAGGGTGCAAAGTAGTGACTCTACTGCATATCGGCACGGTCGGATATGGGGGTTTCCGAAAATTAGCGTACCTTCTTTGGGGGTCCTTCTAAGAAGGATCCTACT